GGCACGGCACGGAGCAGAGGAAGTGTAAGGGCAGAGGAAAGGGGACGCTTGGTAAAAGGCAGGTGGAGGGACGGGTAAAGGAGGGAGCGTGGGGAGCCCGTTCCATGTCAGCCACCGGAGCATCCCGCGGCGCTCAGGGGACATTGTGCGCACAAAGGGCCCCGGGCAGGGCCATGGGCGGAGGTGTTCGACCTCCTCCTCCGGACCTGCAGCCCTGGATTCAGCACTCATTGTCCTGGCACAGGGATCCGGCTTTGTTATCCCACAGGAGCACATCACCCCAGCACGGACACACGGATCCGGCTTTGTTATCCCATAGGAGCACATCACCCCAGCATGGACACACGGATCCAGCTTTGTTATCCCACAGGAGCACATCACCCCAGCATGGACACACGGATCCGGCTTTGTTATCCCATAGGAGCACATCACCCCAGCATGGACACACGGATCCAGCTTTGTTATCCCATAGGAGCACATCACCCCAGCATGGACACACGGATCCGGCTTTGTTATCCCATAGGAGCACATCACCCCAGCATGGACACACGGATCCGGCTTTGTTATCCCATAGGAGCACACTACCCCAGCATGGACACACGGATCCAGCTTTGTTATCCCATAGGAGCACATCACCCCAGCATGGACACACGGATCCAGCTTTGTTATCCCATAGGAGCACATTACCCCAGCATGGACACACGGATCCAGCTTTGTTATCCCATAGGAGCACATCACCCCAGCATGGACACACGGATCCGGCTTTGTTATCCCATAGGAGCACATCACCCCAGCATGGACACACGGATCCAGCTTTGTTATCCCATAGGAGCACATCACCCCAACACGGACACACGGATCCAGCTTTGTTATCCCATAGGAGCACATCACCCCAGCATGGACACACGGATCCAGCTTTGTTATCCCATAGGAGCACATTACCCCAGCATGGACACACGGATCTGGATTTGTTATCCCATAGGAGCACATCACCCCAACACGGACACATGGATCCAGCTTTGTTATCCCATAGGAGCACATCACCCCAACACGGACACACGGATCCAGCTTTGTTATCCCATAGGAGCACATCACCCCAACACGGACACAGGGATCCAGCTTTGTTATCCCATAGGAGCACATCACCCCAGCATGGACACACGGATCCAGCTTTGTTATCCCATAGGAGCACATCACCCCAGCATGGACACACGGATCCAGCTTTGTTATCCCATAGGAGCACATCACCCCAGCATGGACACACGGATCCAGCTTTGTTATCCCATAGGAGCACACTACCCCAGCATGGACACATGGATCCAGCTTTGTTATCCCATAGGAGCACATCACCCCAACACGGACACAGGGATCCAAGCTTTGTTATCCCATAGGAGCACACTACCCCAGCATGGACACATGGATCTGCCTTTGCTATCCCACAGGAGTGGGAAGAGGGAACAGTCCCTGTCACTGGGATGTGACTGGCACAGGCGGGCCATCCAACGGGAGTGGGCAGCAGCCTGGGAAGGGAAGGGAAGGGATGGAAAGCACCGAGGTGGTACGGGATGCTCTGTGACCCCCATCCCGGCAGGGAAGTTCCCTGGAGCCTCTCCCTGCAGGGACTCCATCAGCGCCGGAGCTGCAGCTCATTCCCCCAGCTGCACGGGCACTCCAGGGGACGGACCCAACAGAGAGGGCAGTGTGCGCGTGCCAGCGCTGGTGCTGAGCCCGTGGTGCCCTGGTGCTGGGCTCACAGGGAGCTCTTTGTCCCTGCCAAAGTGTCTCAGCTCCCGGGAACTCACTTGGATGTCAGGGAAAGCAGGGCTGAGCACAAGGCAGCGATTGTGACCCACGTCGCAGCGGGGACTGGGGCCACAGCACGGAGAGGGGGCAGTGAATCAGCACCATCCTGCTCCTCATCCCATCTAACTGCCCCCTCTCCAGTCCGAAGCCATTATTCCTTGCGCCATCCCTACACACTGTGGTAGAAGCCCCTCTCCAGGTTTCCTGTAGCCCCTTTAGGCACTGGGAGCTGCTCCAAGGTCTCCCCTTCACACAGCAGAAGGAAATTCCTCTGCCCATAAAGCACAGGGGGTACCCTAGGGATGTGTTTCCAAGTGGAAATCATCATCCTGCAAAACCAGGAGCGTGTCCCAGTGCTCAGGGGCTGGGAATTCCACCCATGTCTCCACCTCAGTGTGAAAGATCAGCCTGGAATCCTTGCAGGATCCATTGTAGTCCAGAGGCCATGGAGCTGCTGCGAGGGCTGGAGCAGCTCTGCCCTGGAGCCAGGCTGAGAGAGCTGGGCTGGGGCAGCCTGGACAAGAGAAGGCTCCTGAAGGGGAGACCTGAGAGCAGCTCCAGTGCCTGAAGGGGCTGCAGGAAAGCTGGAGAGGGGCTTGGGACAAGGGATGTAGGGACAGGCCAAGGGGAATGGCTTGAACCTGCCCGGGGGGAGACTGAGCTGAGCTCTTAGGCAGAAGCTCTTCCCTGGGAGGGTGCTGAGGCGCTGGCACAGGGTGCCCAGAGAAGCTGTGGCTGCCCCATCCCTGGCAGTGCTCAAGGCCAGGTTGGACACAGGGGCTTGGAGCAAGCTGCTCTATGGAAGGGGTCCCTGCCTGTGGCAGGGGTTGGAGCTGGAGAAGCTTTAAGTTCCCTTCATCCCAACCCATCCCATGATTCCATGGGTCTCTCCATGCAGGCCCATGCTGCACGCTGCATGGGGCAGGAGGCTGCTGGTGGGTGTCAAAGCAGACCCAGGTCACTGCTTCCTGCTCCCCTGAAGGAGCTCCTGCAGCAAGAGGGACACAGGGACAGGGACACGGGGTGCAGGGACACAGGGACAGGGACACGGGGACACGGGGTGCAGGGAGCTGCCCTGCCCCGGCTCTGCAGAACAAGGGGCACCATGGGCAGGCGGTGGAACAGCACCCGCATTGAGCAGAGCCTGCTCCTGGCCAAGAGCAAAGCGCAGCCACCAAGGTCACGGTGCTGAGGAGCAGCAGGAGAAGGAGCTGTTGTCATGGCAGCGCATCCCTGGCAGCTCAGACCTGCTCCCTCTGCTCCTCCACTGCTGGTGGGGTTTGGCTCACAGGCAGCCCAGTGCCGCTGCAGGCTGCCCGCAGCCACCAGGGACCACCCGGAGCCACCAGGAACCATCCTGAGCCACCAGGGACCATTCGGAGCCACCAGGGACCACCCAGAGCCACCAGGGACCATCCGGAGCCACCAGGAACCATCCTGAGCCACCAGGGACCATCCTGAGCCACCAGGGACCACCTGGAGCCACCAGGGACCATCCTGAGCCACCAGGAACCATCCTGAGCCACCAGGGACCATCCTGAGCCACCAGGGACCACCCGGAGTCACCAGGGACCATCCTGAGCCACCAGGAACCATCCTGAGCCACCAGGGACCATCCTGAGCCACCAGGAACCATCCTGAGCCACCAGGGACCACCCGGAGCCACCAGGGACCACCCGGAGCCACCAGGGACCATCCGGAGCCACCAGGGACCTTCCTGAGCCACCAGGGACCATCCTGAGCCACCAGGGACCATTCGGAGCCACCAGGGACCATCCTGAGCCACCAGGGACCACCCGGAGCCACCAGGAACCATCCTGAGCCACCAGGGACCTTCCTGAGCCACCAGGGACCATCCTGAGCCACCAGGGACCATCCTGAGCCACCAGGGACCTTCCTGAGCCACCAGGGACCATCCTGAGCCACCAGGGACCATCCTGAGCCACCAGGGACCTTCCTGAGCCACCAGGGACCACCCGGAGCCACCAGGGACCTTCCTGAGCCACCAGGAACCATCCTGAGCCACCAGGGACCTTCCTGAGCCACCAGGGACCATCCGGAGCCACCAGGGACCACCCGGAGCCACCAGGAACCATCCTGAGCCACCAGGGACCACCCAGAGCCACCAGGAACCATCCTGAGCCACCAGGGACCTTCCTGAGCCACCAGGGACCACCCGGAGCCACCAGGGACCACCCAGAGCCACCAGGGACCTTCCTGAGCCACCAGGGACCACCCGGAGCCACCAGGGACCATCCTGAGCCACCAGGGACCATCCTGAGCCACCCTCCAGCCCCTGCTGCTTAAGCCCTGAGCAACCTGGTTTGGCCTCAGCTCTGACCCTGCCCTGAGCAGGAGGTTGGACACAGAGACCTCCTCAAGCCTCTTCCAACCCAAGGGATGCTGGAAGATGATAAATGCTGTAAGAACAGGACCCACAGGGAGTGCTCAGAGCTAGAACCCACCCATGGGCTGGGTGCACCCCCAGAGCGTGAGCAGCAGCTCAGGGAGGGGATCCTGCCCCTCTGCTGAAGGAAGGGGAGACCTGAGAGCAGCTCCAGTGCCTGAAGGGGCTGCAGGGAACCTGGAGAGGGGCTTGGGACAAGGGATGTAGGGCCAGGCCAAGGGGAATGGCTTGAACCTGCCCGAGGGGAGACTGAGCTGAGCTCTTAGGCAGAAGCTCTTCCCTGGGAGGGGGCTGAGTACATGGGAATCATGGAATGGTTTGGGTTGGGAGGGACCTTATCCATTGCCAGTGATCTGGAGCCATGAGGAGGGTCTGGGACACAGCTGCGAGGAGCAACGACTGCACCGCCTCATTTGCACCAGCTCTCCCCAGAGCTGTGCATCCAAGGCACCAAGAGCACCGGAGCCTCAACCGGCTCACGGGGACCAGCACCCACGGGGCGCCTTGGCCAGAGCAGATCCACCCCTGGCATCGTGGAGCTCTGATTCCCAGCCACGATGTCCATACAGGAGGTGACAGATGAGCAGAGCCCACACTGCGGAAGGGAACCGGCAGAGATGCAGCTAGACCAGGGGGATGCGTCCGCAGGGACAAAGGGAAACTCACTGGGGGGGAAACGGGAACAGAGGAACCACGAAGGGAATAAAGCAAGGGGTAAAGCACAGCTCAGCCTGCCAGGGAGCGAGCGGGGGCTTGTCCCAGCTCTGAGGGGCCCGGAGCTGGCACTCACCTGCCTCCAGCAGCAGCGTGACCGTGGGGCGGTCGTCGGCCAGCACGGCGTAGTGCAGGGCCGTGCAGCCCCTGAAGTTGGCCCTGATGTTGAGGCGGTTGCTGAAGTCGTCCTCCCGCGTCACGAGCACTGTGGGGAGGGCAGAGGAAGCTCAGCACGGCGGGGTGAAGGCTCAGCAGCACCCAAAGGGAGTCGCTGCGGCCCATCAGGACCCCATTGGGTTTCACTGGAGGCTTTTGTCCCCAGCCCGCTGAGCAGCAGCAGCAGAGGTGCAGGCAGGATGGGTTCCCTCAAGCCAGGGGGGCCTTCACAGAGCCAGGCAGGGGAGGAGGTGGTGGGAGAGCACTGCCCCAACCACAGCCTCTCCCACCTTCAGCATCACGTTGGGATCCAACACAAGTTATTAAGGAGACTACTTTGTTTGTCCCCTTTTCATGGAGCCATGGAATGGGTTGGGATGAAGGGACCTTAAAGCCCCTCCAGCTCCAGCCCCTGCCCCGGGCAGGGACCCCTTCCATAGAGCAGCTTGCTCCAAGCCCCTGTGTCCAACCTGGCCTTGAGCACTGCCAGGGATGGGGCAGCCACAGCTTCTCTGGGCACCCTGTGCCAGCGCCTCAGCACCCTCCCAGGGAAGAGCTTCTGCCTAAGAGCTCAGCTCAGTCTCCCCTCAGGCAGGTTAAAGCCATTCCCCTTGGCCTGTCCCTACATCCCTTGTCCCAAGCCCCTCTCCAGCTTTCCTGCAGCCCCTTCAGGCACTGGAGCTGCTCTCAGGTCTCCCCTTCCCGCAGCAGAGGGGCAGGATCCCCTCCCTGAGCTGCTGCTCACACTCTGGGGGTTCACCCAGCGCATGGGGGGGGGGCTCTGGCTCTGAGCTCATGGGCTGCACAACGTTCAGAAGAGAACCCCGCTGCCAGGGTACCTGCTGCTGCCCAGCCCCGCACGATGAATGAATTCCCTGGCTCCTTCCCTTTCCTGCCTGTGCTCCCCCAGCACGGATGGATGGATAGATGGAGCTGGGGGGGGGGAAGGATGTCTATTTATTTATTTGTCGTCATTTCCTACCCAGGGAGGAGCAGGATAATGAACTCCGTGCGTCAGGGAAGATGAATCTCAGCTACTAGGGAGCAGTGCGGTAAAGAGATTAAAGCGTTATTATTGCGGGGTTCGTTTCCCCCCATGGTCCCGGTGACAGCCCAGCCTCAGCTGTAAAAAATGTCTGGCAGGGAGATAATCATCAGCAACTCAATAAGGCGTCAGGGGGAGGCTCCGGCGCCATCCATCACCCCGAGCCTGGCAACCTCCCTTCCTGCCAGCCATATAAATGTCTCTAATATATTTGGGGAGAGCTTCGGAAGGGAAAATATTTATCCAGCACATATGTAAATAGGGGAAGAGAGGCAGAAAAGCAGGGGGAAAAGCGAGGGAAGGGAGCCCAGCACCAGGGCTGGGTGTGGGCTCCTTAAAGATGCAACTGAATTTATTCTTTTTAATAAAAGATGTCAAGGCGAGAATTAATGCAGCGCCCGCCTGAGCGGCCTCATCTTTCCTTCAGCCCCAAATATATAACGCTGAGAGAGGGAGGAAGGCAGAAACAATTCACTTTATGGGTGGATATCCCTGGTCTTAAATAAAGGCTGTGCCCGTTATGGATTGGCACTCCATTGTTCGGGCTTTAACGCCGCTTCATGCATCTCGGATGGGCCGCACGGAGGTGATGGATGCGGGGTCCATCCCCACGTGGAGCACATCAGATGGCTCACGGGGAGGGATGAGAGCCCTGAGCTCCTACAGAGCAAACACCACCCTGGCCAAGCGGTCCCAAGGGATTCATCCTCCAAACTCACCCTGAGCTGTGGGAGAGGCTTCAGACACGGCACCTCCATTGGAGGTTCCAGAGCTCTGCATGGAGATGCCAATGGGGAATGTCACCGTGTGGTCACTGTGAGGGTGCTGAGGCGCTGGCACAGGGTGCCCAGAGAAGCTGTGGCTGCCCCATCCCTGGCAGTGTTCAAGGCCAGGTTGGACACAGGGGCTTGGAGCAAGCTGCTCTATGGAAGGGGTCCCTGCCCGTGGCAGGGGGTGGAGCTGGAGGAGCTTTAAGCTCCCTTCATCCCAACCCATTCCAGGATTCCCTGATGATTCTATGACTTGACCCCACTCAGGTGTTTGCCTTCTCCCACCCAGGACCCATCTGAACATTGCTCAGCCACTGCTGGGCCTCGTGCTCCCATCTCCACTGCCTCCGCAGTGAGCACATCTCTGTGTGCTGACCTCCTGCCTCGGACTCTGAAGCCCCCCAGGTTGTCCAGTAGCTCCCTGTGGCTTGCAGAGGCACCATCACAGAATCAGGGAAGAGCTTCTGCCTAAGAGCTCAGCTCAGTCTCCCCTCGGGCAGGTTAAAGCCAGTGAGTCCTGCCTGGGTCCCTGCCAGCCCAGGAGCAGGGAGCCTGGGCGCCAGCAGCATCCCTGCAGGACACAGCTGCTGCTTTTCCAGACATTCCCCCCCAGATTCCATCAATACCCAGGAGCCCAGGAAATGTAAGACCATTCATCATCCTGGAAAGGGGGAAAAGCCTGGCAAATCTCAACTGCCCTGAAGAAAAGAGCAGGGCTCCGAGCAAGCTGCTCTGGTGCAAGGTGTCCCTGCCACTCGCAGGCCTTTAGAGGTCTCTTCAACCCAAACCCTTCCATGGCTCCAGGTGTGCATCACCACCCCAGCAACGGGATAACGTTGGGCTGAGGCTGGAATGGAGCCGTCAGCCAGGAGAAATGCTGCTGAGGTGAAATGTCACTGCAGGGAACTTCCCTGTCCTCACGGAAACACTCCCAGCGCTGGAAGGCACCACCGATGCCTGCCCAAGCCAGCAGCACTGACTGCACCCAGGTAACCACCCAGCTACAGCCCAACTGGGCAGGACTGGAGTCACTATCAGTTTATAAGAGCTGGAGCCAGGCTTGGTGGGGATACCTGCCCTGGAGCCTCCTCCAGCAAGTGGCTGCATGCGGTCGATGGGATGATCCCTATCCACAACCCCATGGGATGCGCTGGCTACAGGGAAGCAGGTTATCTCCAGGATGCTGAAGGAGTGCTTCTCGTACACACCTACACCATGTTTCCTTTCCCCTTCATACACTCACCCCTGTGCCATCAGGTCCTCCGCTCTAAACTGAAGCTGAAGCTCTAAACCCACCCAATCCAGGTCAAATTCCCACTTTAAAGCCAGGAACTCGGGGAGCTGGGAAGCAAACACAGGTGGCTGCGCCCATCCCACGTTACCTTCCAAAGAGTGGAGGCCTTTCTCCTTGGCAGTCTCATAGACGCTGCTGAAGTCATCTCCAAGGTTTGGATCTGCATTGGCTGCCAGCAGGATCTTCACCACGCTGTTGGGAATGAGACAGAAAGGAGGAGTAGAGCAGGAGCAGGCAGGCAGAGCTCAGCCATCCCGCCTCAGCCATTCCCAGCTAGGGAAGAGGAACCAGGAACCACGACTGAACACTGCAATGCCACCAGAGCAGCACATCCTGAAAGCCATCAGACGTGGGGCAGGCACTGGAGGGCTCACAGCCCTCACCAAGACCTGCCCAGCGCGTGCCCTTGGTGGGAATAGCATCCCCAGCCCACCATGGGAATCCGTTCTCATCCCACAGGAGTGGATCAGCAGTGGAAGCTGTCCCCAGGGCAGGAAAAGCACAGCTGGAGCAGGATCGTGGCTCCAAGCACATCCCTGGGCCTGCAGGATGGAAGATGCTTGCAATGCTCTTCAGGCTAAGGGAAGCAAAGCCACATCCTGCTGCTTCTGGGACACCACCAGCTCAGCACCTAAGGAAAGGAGCCATCCCACCAAGGCTATAGGACTTCAATAGGACTTCAGGATGAAGCACAACCAGAGGCAGGGGCTGGAAGGGACCTATTTGCTCCCCAGGTTTCCACCCTCCAGTTTAGAGCATTTGGCCTTCTACACAGAATCCCAAATGGGGTGGGATGAAGGGACCTTAAAGCTGATCCAGTCCCAACCCCTGCCATGGGCAGGGACCCCTTCCATAGAGCAGCTTGCTCCAAGCCCCTGTGTCCAACCTGGCCTTGAGCACTGCCAGGGATGGGGCAGCCACAGCTTCTCTGGGCACCCTGTGCCAGCGTCTCAGCACCCTCCCAGGGAAGAGCTTCTGCCTCAGAGCTCAGCTCAGTCTCCCCTCACAATCAACCCCAAGGGCATTCATCCATGGGGTTGTGCCTTTGAGGGCTGCAGGGAGTTCAGGCAAATCCCCCCTGTGGGCTGCAGGCAATTCAAACACAATCATTCCCGGGACATCCCGATCCTCTGCAGCCAGCAGCACCCAGAGCTGCCAAAGGACATCTACCCTCCCCACCCAGAGCTCACAGCACACTGTTTCCTACAGGGCAGGGCTGGAGGCACCCTCCCTGCGAGTGGTCACACCCCATGGAGCCAAGGCCTCAGTGCCATGGGGCAGTGCTGGGAATGGTGGCACTGGATGCTCCTGGAGCTCTTCAGCTCCAGCCCCACCAGGCTGCAGCAGGCCGGGCTCTTTGGGCTGCACTCTCCCACCTCCATTCCCAGCCCAAGCACTCATCAGGAATCAGGTTTCTCACCGCTTGTGGAAGCAGCTCGAGGCCACCTGAACTCTTCATTCCTCCCCATGACAACCAGACAGCGAGGGGCTGGGGAGCATCCATCAGGGGTGACAGGGCTCACGGGCTGACAGCCACTGATGGACACGGCTCTGCAGGCTCTGGCCTGTCAACTCCCATTACAAGGGCACTGCAGCTCCTCTCCCCTCGGTCCCCAAGTGCATCCGTGCAATCAAAGGGCCTTGGGTTGAATAAGGTACAAAGAACCCGACAGGTTGCCGTTATCCACAGGGATGAAGGTGCCCTTGTCCCACTGTGCTGGGCGCTGCTCAGGGCACCCCTGGAACATGGGCTCAGGTTGGGTCCTGCTGCACAGCAAAGCTGTGGCTGGGCTGGAGAGGGGCCAGAGAAGGGCCTCAAAGATGCTCCCAGGGCTGGGCAGCAGTGAGGAAAGGCTGAGAGAGCTGGGACTGCTCAGCTGGAGAAGAGAAGGCGCAGGGAGACCTGATCCATGTGCCAGGAGGTAAAGGGGGGCTGCAGGGAAGATGGAGGCTCCCTTTGGACAAGGAGTCCCATGGGAGAGCCCAGGGGTGATGGGCACAAGTTACTGCTGGGAGATTCCCACTGGGAACAAGCAGCCACTGGAATAATGTCCCCAGGGCAGTGGTGACTCCCCAGGGCTGGACCCTGTTAAGATGGGGCTGCACAGGGTGCTGGGCATCCAGTGTGGGTCAGGCTGTGCCTGGAGAGGTTGGAGCAGGTGAGCCCTGAGGCTCCTTCCCTTGGGATTGCAGGGTTCAGAGCGATGATGGATGGTGTCAGAACTGCTCCACTCCACTTTCCTGCCCAGGGATCTGGAATGATTCCGCAGCTCTCAGGACCAAGGGAGGCTCAAGTTTAGAAAGCACAGACCCCAGCTCTGTTCCAGGAGCCCTGCTCCAGGCTGTGATCCAGCCCTAGGCCCAGGGAGGACTCAGGGCTCTCAGCCAGCCTCTGTCTCCAAGCACCCTTCAATCTCATCTGCTGCTCAGGGCCCTGCTGTCCCCCCAGGCACTCCTGCACCACCGCTATCGATCCCACCCGGCAATTTGCAGGTAATGGGACATTGAAGCAAATTGGCCTTTAGGAAAGGCAGCAGCAGATCCAGACAGAGTGACCGAGCAGTGGGAGGGCTGGCAATGTCACTGCAGTGAGCCGGGGGGAGACTGAGCTGAGCTCTTAGGCAGAAGCTCTTCCCTGCGAGGGTGCTGAGGCGCTGGGCTGGGATGCTGGGTTGGAATGAAGAGACCCAGCCTGGGTCCCTTCCTCCCAAGTGATCCCATGGCTCTATGGAGATAGCCTGCTTCCCAGCTGGAAACCACGTTCCCCACCTCAGCTCTCTGGCAGGTAACACCATGGTCCCTATAGGCATCCAGGTGTTCCTCCAGCTGAGCTCGGAAAGGGGTGAGGAAGCCCACAGGGCACCGATGCGTGCTCCCAACAGAGGAGCTGGGACTGCCCCAGTTACCACGGCATTGCCCATAGACAGAAACCAGCTCCACACCGGTCACCCTTCACCGGGAGTGCCAGGACACCCACTGGACCCTCACCATGCACGAGGCAGTGCTGCTGCTGACACAAACCATGCTCACAGCACCTCCAAAGCACCGCGCCGAGGCGGGCATGGTGGAGGCACAGGTCCCAGGGATCCACACTGAGCTGCTCCCTAAGCTCTGCCCTGGGAGGGTGCTGAGGCGCTGGCACAGGGTGCCCAGAGAAGCTGTGGCTGCCCCATTCCTGGCAGTGTTCAAGGCCAGGTTGGACACAGGGGCTTGGAGCAAGCTGCTCCATGGAAGGGGTCCCTGCCCGTGGCAGGGGTTGGGGCTGGATGGGCTTTAAGGTCCCTTCAACCCAACCCGCTCTGGGGTGGTGTGGTTAATGCCTCGCCGTGTTTGGGTGCAGGACTTGATAAGGGGAAGGGAATGAGCTTTGTTTCAGTGTAAAAAGCAGTGACAGATCCCAAGTGCCCCGGGGCACAGGGGACTTCATCCTGCAGCTGATGGCAAGTGACAGCAGCCGTTAATGCAGGGCCTCCACAATTGAATTAAACATATGGACTGGAGCTGCCTAATTGGGAGAGTGAGAGCTGGGCACATGGACAAACATCAGCGAGCTGAAGGCCAGGGCCCAGACTCCTCCAGGGGCACTGCAGACACTGGGAACACTCATTGGAGACAACCTCCCTGGGCAACCCATTCCAGTGCCTCAGCACCCTCACAGGAAAGAATTTCCTCCTTAGATCCAATCTAAACTTCCCCTGTTTCACTTTGAACCCATCACCCCTTGTCCTATCACTGCAGTCCCTAATGAAGAGTCCCTCCCCAGCATCCTTGTAGCCCCCTTCACACACTGGAAGCTGCTCTGAGGTCTCCACACAGCTTCTCTTCTCCAGGCTCAACAGCCCCAATGTTCTCAGCCTGGCTCCATACAGGAGCTGCTCCAGCCCCTGATCATCCTCATGGCCTCCTCTGGACTTGTTCCAACAGTTCCATGTCCTTTTTATGCTGAGAACCCCAGAACTGCACACAATGCTCCAGGTGAGGTCTCACAAGAGCAGAGCAGAGGGGCAGGATCACCTCCTTGGACCTGCTGGTCACGCTCCTTTGGATGCAGCCCAGGATATGGTTGCTTTCTGGGCTAAGGGATGCTCCATAGGGTGTGCTCCAGCTCAATGCGTTCCCCAGCCAGCAGCAAGACCCCACTGGAGACATCCCAAAGCTAGGAATGGTTTGCAGGGACAAACCCACCTATCAGCAGAGCTGTTACACCAGGGGTGAGCCTGGCATTGAGGTCTGCCTCCATCAAGTGTCCAATCTCCAACTACATCACTGGATACAGCAGGATATCCACTGCATCCTACCAAGCTTCAGGTATCCAGTTTGGGATCCACAGGGACCTGGACAGGCTGAGAGAGCTGGGCTGGGGCAGCCTGGACAAGAGAAGGCTCCTGAAGGGGAGACCTGAGAGCAGCTCCAGTGCCTGAAGGGGCTGCAGGAAAGCTGGAGAGGGGCTTGGGACAAGGGCCTGTAGGGCCAGGCCAAGGGGAATGGCTCGAACCTGCCCGAGGGGAGACTGAGCTGAGCTCTTAGGCAGAAGCTCTTCCCTGGGAGGGTGCTGAGGTGCTGGCACAGGGTGCCCAGAGAAGCTGTGGCTGCCCCATCCCTGGCAGTGCTCAAGGCCAGGTTGGACCCAGGGGCTTGGAGCAAGCTGCTCTATGGAAGGGGTCCCTGCCTGTGGCAGGGGTTGGGAATGGAGGGGCTTTGAGCTCCCTTCATTGCAAACCATTCCATGATCCTGTGACTTTTAAATTTTCCCTTTTAGTTCCCAATTCAAGTCAGGTTTCATCCAAAACATGGGAAAAATCAACCCCGTTTGCCCAACACAACCAAAACCTGCTTTTTCTTCCCAACTAAGACCCCGCATCGCTCCCACTCTGCCCATGCACAGGAAGGGACCAGCCCGGCTGTGCCTCTTGGCGCCCCGGTGCTCCCAGCAGCGTCCGTACCCGCTCCGAGCCTGCCTTCAGCTCCTCATCACCCCCCAGCAGCCTCTCCCTGCCTCCCTCAGGCCCGTTCTGCTCCGCCGCTCGCTCGGAATGGTCCGCAGCCGTCACAGCCCAGTGCTGAGCATTGTGCAGAGCCCGAGGGGGGAGGCTCCGGAGCCCGGCCCGCGGCGGGCGAGCAAACAACGGGGCCCGGTGCTGCTGGGACATCAAAGTTAAAGCAAGAACCCCGAGCCCCCTCCTCCGTGCACGCCTTAAGGAGCATCCCGAGGGGGTCAGGACTTTGGGCTTGTCACGGGAGCCATCAAAGCCCGCACCACACACGAACTGGGCGCATGGATCGGAGCGGCATCGCCCGAGAGCGGATATCCCGCCTTTGTGCGCCGCTTTAATCCCGTGTTTTCCCAAGTCATTTGGGCTTCTTCTTGCTTATGAACTTGTGACTAAGTAAAGCAGCGCCGAGAGGGTGGCACATCAAAGCGCAGCCCCCGTCGGGGCCGCAAGGCCACAATTGGATTTGGCTTTCGCCGCCGGGTTTGTTTGCTGCCCCTCTAAACACAAAACCGCCTCTAATTGAATTTAGTTGTAGGCTGAATGCGTTGCCCAGTGCCCCGCAGAGGCACCAGCATGGGAACGCAGCAGGCAGGATGAGCCCCAGGAGCACGGAGGGGAGGGACACGGAGGCAGCTCCTATGGGAGCTTCCACACGGACATCCCAAGGCTGGGGGATGCTGCTGTGGAACGGCGCTGCCTGCTCAGCAGCCACCTGAGCGCCCCACGGTGAGGAGCTCCCCCAGGTTCAGCCCAAGAGCGCATCCCAGAGCAGCCCCAGCTGCACGAAGCTCCCTGCGGAGCTCACCCAGGGAGAGCTGGAGCAGCCTGCAGGTGATGGGGATGCTGAGGTAAGGTGGAACCTACCTGGAGTTCCTGCTGATGGCTGCCACCATGAGCGCCGTCCAGCCCAGCCTGTGCCTCGCGTTCACGTCCGCGCCGTCCACCAGCAGCCTGGGTGCAAGAGGGACACGGTCAGGAGAGGACACAGAGAAACCAGCCCGAGATCATGGGTGCAATCAGGAACCTGCTCCAGGGCGGCGGCGAAAACCAACGTGGGAAGGGGATTCAACCCCTCCTCATCATCACATCATCAGGGAATGCTTTGGGTTGAAGGGAGCCTAAAGCTCCTCCAGCTCCAACCCCTGCCACGGGCAGGGACCCCTTCCATAGAGCAGCTTGCTCCAAGCCCCTGTGTCCAACCTGGCCTTGAGCACTGCCAGGGATGGGGCAGCCACAGCTTCTCTGGGCACCCTGTGCCAGCGCCTCAGCACCCTCCCAGGGAAGAGCTTCTGCCTTATCTCCAGCCTGAACTTCCCCTGTTTCAGTTTGAACCCGTTACCCCTTGTCCTGTCACTGCAGTCCCTGATGAAGAGTCCCTCCCCAGCATCCTTGCAGCCCCCTTCACACACTGGAAGCTGCTCTGAGGTCTCCACACAGCTTCTATTCTCCAGGCTCAACAGCCCCAATGTTCTCAGCCTGGCTCCATATTCCCAACCTTTGCATCCATTCCCTAACCCCTTCCTGACCCCCTGAGGGGACTGGAGCTGGATGGGCTTTAAGCTCCCTTCATCCCAGACCATCCTCTGACCTCCCTCTATGATCTCCAGCACCACCACAAGGTTTATGTTCTATTCACCAGGGTTACAATTAAAAGTGTATGGAGAATGAACTATTTGGCAGGGAAACAGGAGCTCCTGGCTCCAGAGGAATTTGATCCTCCATGGCAGCAGAAGAGGCTTCCATGCAGGATCCTTACACCCATCTGCACATCCCCAGCTCCAGGCAGGCTGGACGTGGCTCCACCAGGATGCATCCTGCTGCTGCCTCCTTCTCCCACCTGCAAGCAGATGCTCGGAGCTCTGCTGCCCAGGAGCACCCCCAAACCGTGGCATCTCTGGGAGGGTGGGATCCGGCTGGATGCCCGGGTGATGGCAGATTGCTATCTGCACAGAGCAGCTCCTGTTGCAGCGCCTCGGCTCCACGGCCACAGGTCACAGCCATCACCTGCTGCTGCGCCCAGGGCCGGTGCTGCAGGGGGAAATCCACACCAGGCTCCATCTGTGCACCATGTGCTGCCCGGAAAGGGGCTCCTTCGCCTGGGAAAGAAGCCACTGAAGGGGTAAGAGGCAGCCCCGGCTCCCCCACACCTGGAGCTGCACCAGAGTGAGCCCAGCAAGAGACGGGGGACACCTCCCCTGAGCCATTCCCCTTCGCCTGCCCCCTTGTCCCAAGCCCCTCTCCAGCTTTCCTGCAGCCCCTTTAGGCACTGGAGCTGCTCTGAGGGCTCCCCTTCAGGAGCCTTCTCTTCTGCAGGCTGAACTGGCTGAGCTTTAAGGTCCCTTCCAGCCCAAACCGTTCTGTGAGTGTGTGATTCCCTGATGCTGGAGTTCTGCTGCAGGACTCAATTACAGATCCTGCCATTCATCCCATAGCTTTCCATTGAGGAATCCAGATCGTTACAAGCACCAGGAAGGCCGCAGGACGCAGCCCAGTGCAGGAGTTACCCGTGTCATATCACCAGCATCCCCACACTGATGCTGCAGCCGGTGTTCAACTCGCTGCAGGATGCAGCTCTACAGCATCCCTGGACAAGTGAACCCGCTGTTACCACGCAGGTCCTGCTCCTGCTTCAGTGCTATGGCAGTGGGTAAGTGACAGCCACGCTCACATCCCAGCAGCCGGGTTTGGCAGCAGGAGCAGGCTGGGATGCAATGGAATAACCCCTTGCTCAGTGCCTGGGGTGCAGCCACATTGCAACCAAACGCAGGGCAGCCGCTCTGGGCTCCGAAGGAGGCTCTCAGGTGTCTGCAGCTCTGGTTGCAGTGGGGTTTGGGCTGCAGCTCCTCTGCTGCTCCACAAAACACCTCTTTTAAAGAGGCTTAGGGGAAAAAGCCCACCTGCTTTTCCAGAAAACACTGGTTTTAGGGACTGAGGGCAGAAAGCTGGCCTGCTTCTTTAGGAAACACCTCTTCTAAAGGGTTTCAGAGCAGAAAGTTCATTTACTTCTCTAGAAAACACCTTCCTGAAAGGGTTTTAGGGCACAAAGCTCATCCGGTTCTCCAGAACACACTGTACTTTAGAGTTCAGGGCACAAAGCACATCTGGTTCTCCAGAACACACTGTACTTTAGAGTTCAGGGCACAAAGCTCATCCGGTTCTCCAGAACACACTGTACTTTAGAGTTCAGGGCACAAAGCACATCTGGTTCTCCAGAACACACTGTACTTTAGAGTTCAGGGCACAAAGCACATCTGGTTCTCCAGAACACACTGTACTTTAGAGTTCAGGGCACAAAGCTCATCCGGTTCTCCAGAACACACTGTACTTTAGAGTTCAGGGCACAAAGCTCATCCGGTTCTCCAGAACACACTGTACTTTAGAGTTCAGGGCACAAAGCACATCCGGTTCTCCAGAACACACTGTACTTTAGAGTTCAGGGCACAAAGCACATCTGGTTCTCCAGAACACACTGTACTTTAGAGTTCAGGGCACAAAGCACATCCGGTTCTCCAGAACACACTGTACTTTAGAGTTCAGGGCACAAAGCCCATCTGGTTCTCCAGAACACACTGTACTTTAGAGTTCAGGGCACAAAGCACATCTGGTTCTCCAGAACACACTGTACTTTAGAGTTCAGGGCACAAAGCTCATCCGGCTCTCCAGAACACACTGTACTTTAGAGTTCAGGGCACAAAGCCCATCTGGTTCTCCAGAACACACTGTACTTTAGAGTTCAGGGCACAAAGCTCATCCGGCTCTCCAGAACACACTGTACTTTAGAGTTCAGGGCACAAAGCACATCTGGTTCTCCAGAACACACTGTACTTTAGAGTTCAGGGCACAAAGCTCATCCGGCTCTCCAGAACACACTGTACTTTAGAGTTCAGGGCACAAAGCCCATCTGGTTCTCCAGAACACACTGTAGAGTTCAGGGCACAAAGCTCATCCGGCTCTCCAGAACACACTGTACTTTAGAGTTCAGGGCACAAAGCACATCTGGTTCTCCAGAACACACTGTACTTTAGAGTTCAGGGCACAAAGCACATCTGGTTCTCCAGAACACACTGTACTTTAGAGTTCAGGGCACAAAGCTCATCCGGCTCTCCAGAACACACTGTACTTTAGAGTTCAGGGCACAAAGCCCATCTGGTTCTCCAGAACACACTGTACTTTAGAGTTCAGGGCACAAAGCTCATCCGGCTCTCCAGAACACACTGTACTTTAGAGTTCAGGGCACAAAGCACATCTGGTTCTCCAGAACACACTGTAGAGTTCAGGGCACAAAGCACATCTGGTTCTCCAGAACACACTGTACTTTAGAGTTCAGGGCACAAAGCCCATCTGGTTCTCCAGAACACACTGTACTTTAGAGTTCAGGGCACAAAGCCCATCTGGTTCTCCAGAACACACTGTACTTTAGAGTTCAGGGCACAAAGCTCATCCGGCTCTCCAGAACACACTGTACTTTAGAGTTCAGGGCACAAAGCACATCTGGTTCTCCAGAACACACTGTAGAGTTCAGGGCACAAAGCACATCTGGTTCTCCAGAACACACTGTACTTTAGAGTTCAGGGCACAAAGCCCATCTGGTTCTCCAGAACACACTGTACTTTAGAGTTCAGGGCACAAAGCTCATCCGGCTCTCCAGAACACACTGTACTTTAGAGTTCAGGGCACAAAGCACATCTGGTTCTCCAGAACACACTGTAGAGTTCAGGGCACAAAGCACATCTGGTTCTCCAGAACACACTGTACTTTAGAGTTCAGGGCACAAAGCACATCTGGCTCTCCAGAACACACTGTACTTTAGAGTTCAGGGCACAAAGCTCATCCGGCTCTCCAGAACACACTGTACTTTAGAGTTCAGGGCACAAAGCACATCTGGCTCTCCAGAACACACTGTACTTTAGAGTTCAGGGCACAAAGCTCATCCGGCTCTCCAGAACACACTGTACTTTAGAGTTCAGGCCACAAAGCACATCTGGTTCTCCACAACACACTGTACTTTAGAGTTCAGGGCACAAAGCACATCCGGTTCTCCAGAACACACTGTACTTTAGAGTTCAGGGCACAAAGCACATCTGGTTCTCCAGAACACACTGTACTTTAGAGTTCAGGGCACAAAGCTCATCCGGTTCTCCAGAACACACTGTACTTTAGAGTTCAGGGCACAAAGCTCATCCGGCTCTCCCCAAAACACCTCTTTTAAAGGTTTTTACCCAAGAAAGCTCGCCTGCTCCCCCTGCAAAGTTATTTTCTAGGGTTATAGAATCACAGAATGGTTCGGGTTGGAAAGGACCTTAAGATCACCCAGTTCTAACCTGCTGCCGTGGGCAGGGACACCTCACACTAAACCATGGCACCCAACCTGGTCTCTGGGGCCAGAAAGCTGCTGTGCTTCCCCAAAGCCCTTTTGCACGGGTTTGATGGCACAAAGCTCAGCCGCTTCTCCCCGAACCCCTTGGTTTAGGGTTTTCAGGCAGAAAGTCCAACGGGCCCCCCACGGGAAGAGCTCTTCCCAATGGCTTCCTACCACTGAGGGCGCCTGGGGGCCCGCTGCGGCCCCAGCTCAGGCAGCACCCGGTGATGCCATCCCCCCCAGCACCCAGCTCAGAGCATCACCGCCTGCTCGGAGCACCCAGGTCTTTGTGGCCTGCTCCCGCTGGGAGCCCTTTGATCCCGGGGCAGGCCGGGCTGGCAGATGGGCCCCGTTCCCCCTCCGTGGGCAGGTTCTGGCTGAGCGCCTCGCTGACACGGGGCCCAGGGCCATGTTTGACTTTGTGCTCAGCGCCTCCCTCCTGCCAGCTGCGGGACCGGGGGCTGCAAACTTGAACTTAGCCCCCCCCAACAATGGGTGCTCCGGGTGAGGGCAAGGGAAAAGGGGGGGGGACACCCCTCGGGATGTGCCCTTTGCACCAGCGGGAGGATGGAACCATCCCAAGGCAACGACGGCTCCGGACATGAAAGCACAAGGAGAGGGGAAGGAGCAGAGGGAGAACGTGGAGCTGCTGCAAGGGCTCCGATGCGGGTGCTGGCTCCCGACTGCTCCTCAAGCACCCGTGGTCACCCCTGGGAACACACACGAGCCCACAAGCGCTGCTGCAGGGACGGAAGGGACAAGCAGAGGAGCAGTGTTAGGTCCCAAGGTGTCCCTAAAGCACACAGAACCAACAGGCCATGAGGAGAGGGGATGGCCAAGGAGAAGCGCCTGGAAGGGGATGCTCAGAGCCCAAGGGAAGCCCTCAGAAATCCAGGTTGCAGGAAGGAAACAGATCCTGGATGAGAGCGGGGCTGTCTGAGGGGGGAGAAGCACAGAAAGGGAGAACCCAGGTGATGGGGACGCAGAGACACAGGCATGGGGAGATGCCAAACTCCATCCCACGTCCAGAGCCTGGAGATGCCTCAGCTCTAGGAGAAGGCTTTGCTTTTCCAAACAGGCTGAAAGAATGGCATCACGGAATCCTGGAATGGGTTGGGGTGAAGGGAGCTTAAAGCTCATCTAAAGCCACAGGCAGGGACCTGTTCCATAGAGCAGCTTGCTCCAAGCCCGTGTCCAACCTGGCCTTGAACACTGCCAGGGATGGGGCAGCCACAGCTTCTCTGGGCACCCTGTGCCAGCGCCTCAGCACCCTCCCAGGGAAGAGCTTCTGCCTAAGAGCTCAGCTCAGTCTCCCCTCGGGCAGGTTCAAGCCATTCCCCTTGGCCTGTCCCTACATCCCTTGTCCCAAGCCCCTCTCCAGCTTTCCTGCAGCCCCTTCAGGCACTGGAGCTGCTCTAAGGGCTCCCCTTCAGGAGCCTTCTCTTCTCCAGGCTGAACTGGATGAGCTCCAACCCAAAGCACTCCATAACTGCATGGCTCACACTGCACTGGGGGCCTCTCCATGCCCTGCTGCCTCAGGTGTGCTCAGAGCAGAAAGGATCAGCCCCTTCCACAAGAGCCTCCTTGCTCCCCAGCCCGCGTCACCACCAGTGAGCAGCGCACCCAGGCTGGGACCCTTCAGCTCCTCTCCCACAGCCCCAGGGCTGATGTGCCAGGAGCAGGCCAACCCCATGGCACAGTGCATGGGACAGAGGCACTTCCAGAGTGGAATTGTGTGCATCACGTGCTCCGGAGCACAGCTCACACCAGCATGCCTGCAACTGATCCCAACGGGAACGCTGTGGGGAGTGAACACAGCAGTGGGAGCAAACCTCTCTGTGCCAGCAATGGGAGACGGTATCTCCCAGTGGAATGAAGCAGGGGGCTCTGAGGGTCCAGATCACGCTGCTCCTCGCTGGGAAGAGCAGCCTGATGCTCCTGTTGGGATCAGGACCTCCCGTCAGGTGGAACCGCACCTCTGGTGCCTGCAACGCGAGGGAGAAGCTTCAGAGAGAGCAGCAGGAGCTGACGTGGAGCTTCCTGCCCCCTCCACGGCTGCCTGGATCCCCTGGGAGCTCCTGGGCACCTCCACATCCCATCAGCAGGCGGATCTGGGCTGGTGCCTGCTGCTGGGAATGAGGCTGCCAGGAGCTGGGCCACAGGCTCCGTGTTTCCATGAGTCACTGCCCTGAGTGCTCAGAACACTGCTCCATCACCCTCAGGCAGGAGGAAGCTCTGCTCTGAGCCTGCTCTTTGGTGGGTGCTTGGTAAGGCGCCAGGCTGGACCACGGAGCATCACTGTTAAGAGGAACACAGGGGGATTGAGGCAGTTGTTCTCCCTGGCTCTGCTTCTTCCTTCGCTTCCAAACACGTGGAATCACTGAGGTTGAGAGGAATTAAACTGTCGACATTCATTCGGTGTTACCATCTGTACAGGCTGATGGTGGGGAGGGTCTGAAGGGAAGAGCTGGTTTGCTCCAAAGGCAATGGTCACACAAGCTCATAGAATCCAAGACTGGTTTGGGATGAAGGGACCTTAAAGCTCCTCCAGTCCCAACCCCTGCCACGGGCAGGGACCCCTTCCATAGAGCAGCTTGCTCCAAGCCCCTGTGTCCAACCCGGCCTTGAGCACAGCCAGGGATGGGAACCCCCAAGTCCTTCTCCTCAGGCTCCATCCCATCTCTCCCAGCCTGTGTTTGTGCTGGGATTGCCCGAGCCCAAGGGCAGGACCTTGCCCTTGGCCTGGTTGAGCTCCATGAGGCTCCCATGGGCATCCCAGGGGTGATTCCACAGGGGGATCTTTAGGGGACCTCATCTCTTCCAAGAGAGAGACCACAGCTCTTTGGGATGAGGGCCACAGTTCTCAAAGCTCTTCCCTTCCCTGCTTCCAGCACAGCCTCTGCTCCCTGGAGCCTCTCTCTACCCTCTTCTTCCTCCCCAGATAAACCCATCTATGACTTAACTGATGGCCTGGAAGTCTGGGTACCTCACAGCACCCTCTCCCACGGGTCCATCTCCTGCCCTCAGACCAAAAGCTTCCATTTCCTCCTCACTGTAAGGCATAAAGGGGCCGTGGGGAGGCGGCGGCTGGACGAGGCCCTTGATGAAGTCCAGCTGCCCAGCTCCTGCAGCAGGAAAGCCAAGGGAGTGCCCAGCAGCAGACGGGGAGAGCACGGGAGCAGGCTCTGGCAGTGACAGCCAGGAGGTGGCTGCTTCCCATCATCAGCGAGGGGAGGGGATGCAGAGGTGAACAGCATCGATAAGCACGAGAGCAGCGGCCCGGCCGCGCTCGGCTCTGCTGGCCTGGCCTCAGGACACGGGTGCTGACAGCACACACTGAGCCTCTCCATCCCGCTGCGGGGCCTGAGCATGCGAGAGCTCGGCCCTGCAGCCTCTGTGGTATCCCATCAGGGCTTAAACCACGGCACAGAGCTGAGCTGAGCCTAAAAGCACACAGAACACCACCACCGGGGCAGCCTCCCCTCTCCTTTGTGCACGGGGGCTGGAAGCAGGGACAGCAGCTTTGGGAGGATGGGTTGGGAATGGGGGGGGCGCTGCCTGCTCCTGGGTGCAGCCCCAGCACCGAGCTCAGCGCCAGGCTCCTGCCCTGCCAGGCACCAGCGCGGGCAGTGGGAAAGCCAAGCACCCTCAAGGAAGGGCACTGGTGCCTCCCGTGGCAGCTCTGCAGCAGCTGTGGTGTTCCTGGGCTCGGGAAGCTGGTGGGGAAGAGGAATGCAGCAGGGAGAGGCAGCAGGAAAGGGACAGGGGTGCTGCGTGGGAGGCAGCTCCCCATGGAGCAGGACTGGGAGGGAGTCACGGGATGGGCTGGGATGAAGGGAGCTTAAAGCTCATCCAAAGCCACAGGCAGGGACACCTCACACTGGAGCAGCTTGCTCCAAGACCCTGTGTCCAACCTGGTCTTGAGCACTGCCAGGGATGGGGCAGCCCCAGCTTCTCTGGGCACCCTGTGCCATGGCCACAGGGATCCAAGCTGGAGAGCCGAGTGCTCCAAGGGCTGCAGGAGCAGCTCCCACTGCTCCATCCCTTGGGATACCTGCTTGGACACTGCCACCTGTGAGCCACGGCAGGCACGAAGGACGAGGTCACCCTCAGCAAGTGCTGACAGAGCTCGGGGGCCTTCCCAGCCCGGGGCAGCAGCAGCATCCCACCAATCCTGCTCACCTGCTGACCTCCGGAACGTTGTTGAACCTGGCGGCTTCCAGCAGAGCATCTTCTGGAAAGGGAGAAAGAATGGGAAGTGAGTTCCCAGGGACCAGCCCCACAGCCCCCAGAGAAGCTGGGGCTGCCCCATCCCTGGCAGCGCTCAAGGCCAGGTTGGACACAGGGGCTTGGAGCAAGCTGCTCTATGGAAGGGGTCCCTGCCCGTGGCAGGGGGCTGGCAATGGAGGAGCTTTAAGGTCCCTTCAACCCAACCCGTTCCATGATTCCGTGCTCAGCAGACACAGCAGCCCCCTGCCCGCTGCATCCTAACAGGAGAGCTCCCCCAGGAGCACGATGGACCCAGGGATGTGAACGGCTCCTTCCTGGTCTCTCCCATATCCCCAGGGACACCTCCCCTTACACTGGGGGTGCTGCCGTTCTCTGCCTCTGAAGGTGCCACGGCACGGGCCTGGAAATGGCTGGAGCAGAGGGGGAAGGTCCTGCTGGGACACACAGGGATGAGCCAGGGCAGGCTCCAGCAAGGGCCCAAGTGACTCCCAACGGGAGGAACAGGGCAAACCCAGCAGCCACAGCCTCACCCCCACGGAGCTGCTGCCATGGGCCCGCAATGACACCTCCTGGCTGCCGAGGGTAAGGGCAGCACCCAGAGGTGGGACCAGCAGAGCCCTGCTGGGGCATGGGGGTGCGGGGACATCCCCCCAGGGGCCCAGCCCTCGGCTGCTTCCTGCTCCAGCTCCAACCCCTGCCACGGGCAGGGACCCCTTCCATAGAGCAGCTTGCTCCAAGCCCCTGTGTCCAACCTGGCCTTGAACACTGCCAGGGATGGGGCAGCCACAGCTTCTCTGGGCACCCTGTGCCAGCGCCTCAGCACCCTCCCAGGGAAGAGCTTCTGCCTAAGAGCTCAGCTCAGTCTCCCCTCGGGCAGGTTCAAGCCATTCCCCTTGTCCCAAGCCTCTCTCCAGCTTTCCTGCAGCCCCTTCAGGCACTGGAGCTGCTCTCAGGTCTCCCCTTCAGGAGCCTTCTCTTCTCCAGGCTGCCCCAGCCCAGCTCTCTCAGCCTGGCTCCGGGGCAGAGCTGCTCCAGCCCTCGCAGCAGCTCCGTGCCCTCCTCCGGTCCCTCCGGTGCCAGAACACCCCGCCCCAGCGCGGTGACACGGGCCTGAGGCCGCATAGCAAGGCCCAGACCCAAACCGGGCTCCTCACGGCGGCAGCTCCATCCCTTCCCTCCTCCAGCACCGATATCCCGTGCTCCGCTCGAGAGCTCACCCCGGGGCGGGCTCCATGGCCCAGGAGGCACCCCCCGTCCCCATCCCCGTCCCCGCCGGGCCGAGCAGCAATAGTCACCCTTGGACCGCCGGTCCCGCAGGTAGCAGAGGGCCAGGGCCGCAGCCAGGCCGGGCAGCACGGCTCCGCTCCGCCGCCCCTCGGGCTCCCCTCCATGGGGCCGCGGGTGCTGGGCACACGGCGGCGGCGCTCCACGGGGCACGGCGGGCACCGGGCCGGGCCGGGCAGTGCTGGGGGGCTGCGGGGGGGCCGGCCCCGGGACCTGCTGCTCACCCATGGGGGTCCCCTTGGCGCCTGGCCCCACTGCTAAGGGGGTCCCCTTGGGGCCTGGCCCCACTGCTAAGGGGGTCCCCATGGGGCCTGGCCCCACTGCTAAGGGGGACCCCTTGGGGCCTGGCCCCACGGACAGGGGCCGCCCCCCGGGGCTCTGCCCCCGCCATGACACCCCCAGGCCCGGTGGCGCGGACCGCTGGCGCCCCCTGCCGGCCCAGCCCGCCCCCAGCCGCGGCCCGGCGCCCCCGGCCCCCTCAGGCACCGCGGCCGGCGGAGCCCCGGGGCCGGGCCGCGCCCGCAGGAGCCGCGCCAGCCCCGGTGGCGGCGGGCGGGCCGCGAGGGAGGTCAGCATCGTCCCGGTGCGCGCTGCCGGTGCCGCCCGAGCCCCCTCCGAGCCGATGGAAGCCGGTGAGGCAAGATGGCGGCAGCCGGCAAGCCGGCGCAGTCAGAGCGGCCGCTGCGCAAAGCCTGCTGGGAGTTGTAGTCCCGCGCCGCGGCCTCCGCTGGGTTAGCGGCGCCGCTGCGGACTACAACACCCAGGGGGCGCCGGGGCACCGCGCCGCGCCCGGGGCATGCCGGGAAATGGGAGGGGTGGAGCCACGGGTTCGAGACCCGGCTGGGCCTGCTGGGGCAGGATCAGCGCTCACACACGTGTGTACGTAAACACACATGTACACATGCACACGTGTGTACACACGCATGTGCTCATAAACGTGTGTACGTAAACACACATGTACACGTGTGCACATACACATGTGTACATACACATGTACACATGCACACGTGTGTACATACACACGTATGTGTTCATGCACATGTGTGTACACACGCATGTGCTCATACACATGTGCTCATACACATGTGTGTACATACGCATGTGCTCATACACACGTGTGCACATACGCATGTGCTCATGCACATGTGTACCTACACAGACATGTACACATGCACACGTGTGCACATACACATGTGCTTATACACACGTGTGCACATACACACGCATGTGCTCATGCACATGTGTACATACACACACATGTACACATGCACACGTGTACATACGCATGTGCTCGTACACACGCATGTGTTCATACACACGTGTACATACACATGCACATGTGTGTACATACACATGTGCTCATACACACGTGTGTACATACGCATGTGCTCATACACACGTGTACATACATGAATGTGCTCATACACATGTGTGCACATGCACACACGTAATCCCACACATAGGATTGCACCTGCATACATGCACATGCAGAGGAGTGCACGTACATATTCACTCCCACACACGTATGTGTGCTTGGGGGAGCACACGCGTGTACACATGTACTCACACGCGTGCACCCATGGGGCACGCACACGCATGAACACACACATGCAGTCACACGTGAACATACAGTCATGCACATGCATGGGCACACAGGATTCACAGACATACGTGCACATACATATGCACTCACGTGAACATGCATGTACAGGCACAAGCAGCTGCACACAGAGGTGCACTCACATCTGTTCCCACATGTACATGCACACACATGGGCACGTGAATGCAGCGGCACACGTGCACATGTGAACTCACACACATGTGCACCCACACACGTGTGCACAAGCGCTGCAGGCTCAGCTTGAGGCCTCGGCTCACCCATGCAGGGCTTGCACACGTGCAGGTGCTCCGTGTGTACCTGTGAGGGCACCCATGTGTGTGCGTGTGCATGCACACATGTGTGTGCACGTGTGTGTGTGTGAGGGCACCCATGTGTGTGCGTGTGCATGCACCCATGTGTGTGCACGTGTGTGTGTGTGAGTGCAGCCATGTGTGTGCACATGTGTGCGTGTGAGGGCACCCATGTGTGTGCGTGTGCATGCACCCATGTGTGTGCACATGTGTGTGCGTGTGAGGGCACCCATGTGTGTGCGCATGTGTGTGTGAGTGCAGCCATGTGTGTGCACATGTGTGCGTGTGAGGGCACCCATGTGTGTGCACATGTGTGTGCGTGTGAGGGCACCCATGTGCGTGCACATGTGTGTGCGTGTGAGGGCACCCATGTGTTTGCATGTCAGTTCATGTATGTAAATGCATGTGTCTGCGCATGTATATGAGTTTGAATGCACATGTATGTATATATGTGTGTGAATCCTGTGTGCACATGCACATAGGTGCCTGCGTGCATGAGTGCACATGTGTGTGCATGCATGTGCATGACTGCATGTGTGTGAGTACACATGTATGTGTGTGAATCATGTGTGTGCATGTACATACATGCCGGGGTGTGAGCATGCCTGTGTGCATGAGTGCCCTTATGTGTACATGCACACGCATGCCTGAACGTGCGCACATTCATGCGCATGTCAATGCATGTGTGTGCATGCATGTACATGACTGTGTACACGCATGTGAGTACACATGCGCGTACACATCTGTGAATCACCTGTGTGCATGCCTGTATTAGTGCACGTGTGTGCATGCACACGCATGCCTCTGTGCACGCATGTAAGAATGCACATACATGCGCATCCGTGCCCACGCCTGTGCGCACACCCGTATGCATGAGCCCATGTGTCTGCGCAGTCACGTATGTGCCACTGTGTCTGTGAGCGCACCCATGTGATGATGCCCGTGAAGGACATGTACATGTATGAACACGCGTGTTTGTGTGCGCACTGCGGGGGTCCGCGCGACACCTGCGCACATCTGTGCGTGCGCCCCGGTGCCTTCCCCGCTCCCCCCCCCGTGGTCCGGTTCCGCCGCTCCCCTCCCCGGTCCCGGTCCCGGTCCCTCCCCTCCCCGCCCCGGGGCCGCCCCGCGCTCCCGGTCCCGCCCCTGCCCATCGCGCACCGCGCACCGGGGATGCCGCCGCCGCCGCCGTAGGTTGGGGGGGGGGGGGAACCGGAGGGACCGGAGCAGGACCGGGGCGGACCGGACCATGTCGGGTCGCGATAGCGTCCAGATCCCCGACGACCGCGACTTCGGCGCGTTCCGGGCGCTGTGCGAGTCCGAGCGCGGCTGGAGCCTCACCTACAGCAAGGGGGGGGTGGCGGTGTGGGTGCAGCTCCGCGAGCCCGAGCGCGACCTCCACAAGATCAAGGTGAGACCCCGGGATCGGGATCGGGATCGGGAACGGGAACCGGCAGCGGGGGCAGCCCCGGAGCGGGGGCCTTCAATGGGGGGGGAAACGAAGGGGGATGCCCCGTGTGTGGGGGGGGTGGTGGATGGAGGGAAGTGGGGACCTGGGGTGATGCCGCACCCAGGGGTAAGGGGGACCCCGCAGTGAATGGGACTTGGGGGGTGACGGGGAACCCCACAGCGAGTGGGGACCCTCAAGGGATCCAGCATCCAGAAGCAAGGGGGGACCTCACAGTAAGATGGGACTTGGGGGCGATGCAGCAACCTGAAGCAAGGGGGGACCCCAAAGTGAGTGGGGGTTAGGGGGTGATGGAGCACCCTGGGGTGAGCAGGGACCCCAAAGCGAGTGGGGACTTGGGGGTGATGCAGCACCCTGGGGTGAGGACGGACTCCACAGCAAGCGGGGTCCCTACAGCAAGTGGGGACCCTCAAGTGATGTAGCTCCGTGGGGCAAGGGGGACCCCAAAGTAAGTGTGGACCATGGGGGTGAGCAGGAACTGGGTGCAAGTGGGGACCCCAGGGGTTAGTGGGGACCCTGGGGCAAGTTGGGGACCCTCAAGCGATGCAGCCCCCCCCGGGGCGAGCAGGGACCCGGCTGAGCCGTCACCCATCGCAAACAGGGACCCCAGGGGTGTCCCAGGGCTGAGCTGCGACAAGGGGGAACCAGGGAGCTGCAGTGGGGTGACGGGGACCCCCCCAGTGCTCGCTGCATGCAGGCGTCCTTGTGCTCGCTGTGGTGCTGCCCCTTGCCCCGTGCCATGGGGTGGCATCGGTTCCGCAGCCACCGAACACGGACGTGGCAGCGGCGGCACTGGCAGGACCCGTCCCTGGGGTGGCGGCGCCGGTTGGTCCCGGTTCCCATCGGGAATCCCGCCGGGAATCGCCTCTGTTGGCTCCCAGCGCTGGCGCGGCAGAGCCTGGAGGAGTGCTTGGGGGGACAAGGGGTGGCAATGGCCGTAGGTGCTGATCACCGTGCCCGTCACCGTGGTGTCACCATGGGCAGGCTGCGCTGGGCCTGGCTCCGTGGGGCAGCACATCCCGGTCCCCACGCTGAGTCCCCCAGACTCTGCTGATGGCTTTTGGGGTGTTCCTGCATCCCAAAGCGGCTCCGGTGGGATTGGGGCGCTGCTGTGTGTGCAGGGAGTCGCTGGGGGTGTCCTGCCCGTTCCCTGCCCGTTCCCTGCCCGTTCCCTGCCTGTTCCCTGCCCATCCCGACAATCCGGTTGTGCCACGTCCTCCGCCGTGGCTGGGAACCATCCCAAGGTGTGCACCAGGATGTCCTGGTCCGGCGCGTTCCCACCACGGGCAGTTCGTACCCGGCGCCGTCCCTCACCCATCCCCACGTCCTTCCCTGCCCATCCCGGTGCTCCCAGCACCCTCCTGCCTGGATCCTGCTTGGGAAGATCCTGCTGGATGTTCCCGCATGGATGCTGTGTGTGTGTGCAGTGGCGCCGGGGGGACAGCCAGGCTCTAGGATGGGATGCTCCGCCTGGATTTCATGGATGAGCGTGGCATCCAAGCCCCCCCCCCCCAGCTCCCACCCCTCTTTGGCATCTCCTCTTTTCCCATCAGGAATGCAGCTCTGGTCTAACCTGTTTTCCAGGAGGCTGGAAACAAGGTTGTGATTCATCCCTGGGACATGGGACGCGGCATTCAGTGATCCCAAGGATGGGGGGGACCCCATTTGGGATCCCCCCATCCCATCCTGGTGGATGCTGGGCGATGCTGCCCCGGGGAAGGGGCTCCTTGGGAAGGAGCCATCCCATGGGATGGGGCTGGAGCTGTTCCGGCTGGGACCCCCCAGGCTCCTGCTTGTCCCTTATGACCCTTGCGATGGATGCTAACGAACATGGGTCTTCTCTGTAATGAGCTTAATGACCCCCGTGGCGGCACCCGTGGCCATGGGTCCTGCTCCGGGCATGGGGGGGGACATCGTGGGGAGGCCATGGGCACCTCTTGCCTGGGGCAGAGCCGCTGGCACCGGGTGTCACCTTCCTCCTCCTCCTCCTCCTCCTCGCCCCATAGAGTCAATATTGACCCAGGGCTGCGGCACTGCTCCGGGCCGCTCCGTCCCCTCTCCCGGTGACATTCCACGTCCGGAGCACCCACGTCCAGCCCGGCCCATGGGGTGGGAGCTGGGGGTCCCCGGTGTGAGGGGCTGACCCTGGACCAGGTGTTGGCTGATGGGGTGGGGGGGACTGAGGTGCAGGAGGTGGGAAATGTGGGGTTGGAGAGGGGCTCCGTGGGGTTGGAGAGGGGTTCCATGGGGTTGGAGAGGGGTTCCATGGGGTGGGAGAGGGGCTCCGTGGGGTTGGAGAGGGGCTCCATGGGGTGGGAGAGGGGCTCCATGGGGTTGGAGAGGGGCTCCGTGGGGTTGGAGAGGGGCTCCGTGTTGTTGGAGGGGGGCTCCGTGGGGTGGGAGAGGGGCTCCGTGGGGTTGGAGAGGGGCTCCGTGGGGTGGGAGAGGGGCTCCATGGGGTTGGAGAGAGGCTCCATGGGGTTGGAGAGAGGCTCCATGGGGTTGGAGAGGGGTTCCATGGGGTGGGAGAGGGGCTCCATGGGGTTGGAGAGGGGTTCCGTGGGGTGGGAGAGGGGCTCCGTGTTGTTGGAGAGGGGCTCCGTGTTGTTGGAGAGGGGCTCCGTGGGGTTGGAGAGGGGTTCCATGGGGTGGGAGAGGGGCTCCGTGGGGTTGGAGAGGGGCTCCATGGGGTGGGAGAGAGGCTCCATGGGGTTGGAGAGAGGCTCCATGGGGTTGGAGAGGGGTTCCATGGGGTGGGAGAGGGGCTCCATGGGGTGGGAGAGGGGCTCCATGGGGTTGGAGAGGGGCTCCGTGTTGTTGGAGAGGGGCTCCGTGGGGTTGGAGAGGGGTTCCATGGGGTGGGAGAGGGGCTCCGTGGGGTTGGAGAGGGGCTCCGTGGGGTGGGAGAGGGGCTCCGTGGGGTTGGAGAGGGGCTCCGTGGGGTGGGAGAGGGGCTCCGTGGGGTTGGAGAGGGGCTCCATGGGGTTGGAGAGGGGCTCCATGGGGTGGGAGAGGGGCTCCGTGGGGTTGGAGAGGGGCTCCGTGGGGTTGGATGGAGCTGGGTGTCTCCAGTGTTGATGATGGGATCAGTGCAGTGGGATGGACGGATCTGAGTGTTTCCAATGTTAATGATGGGATCAGTGCAGTGGGATGGTTTTATCTGGGTGTCTCCAATGTTGATGATGGGATCAGTGCAGTGGGATGGATGGATGCAGGTGTCTCCGTCTCCAGTGTTGATGATGGGATCAATGCAATGGGATGGATGCAGCTGGGTGTCTGCAGTGTTGATGATGGGATCAGTGCAGTGGGATGGATGGATTCGGGTGTCTCCACCGGGTCCCCATGGCCACCCGCCTATGGCGTGCTGCAGTGCAGGATGGAGTGCCGGGACGTGCCGGCAGAGACCCTCTATGACGTGCTGCACGACATCGAGTACCGCAAGAAGTGGGACACCAACGTCATCGAGACCTTCGACATCGGGAAGCTCACCGTCAACTCCGACGTGGGCTACTACGCCTGTGAGCACGGCCGTGGGTCCCGTGGTGATGGAGGCTCCCTCAGCCATGGGGCTGGTGGTGCCCATGGTGCCTGGGGGGACCTGGCACCATTCAGGGTGGGCTCTGGGGGTTTGCTCATGCCGGGAGGGGTCTCTCCCCATTGCTGTCCATAGGGAAGTGCCCCAAGCCCCTCAAGAACCGGGATGTCATCACGCTGCGCTCCTGGCTGCCCATGGGCAATGACTACATCATCATGAACTACTCCGTCAAGCACCCTGTGAGTGCGCTGAGGGGGTCCCATGGGTGCTGCCTGCGCTGGGGTGGGTGGATGGGGGATGCCTGAACCCACCCCATGTCCCCCCGGTGTCCCCGTGCAGAAGTACCCCCCACGGAAGGACATGGTCCGAGCCGTCTCCATCCAGACGGGGTACCTGATCGAGGGGACGGGGGCCAAGAGCTGCACCATCACCTACCTGGCGCAGGTGGACCCCAAAGGTAAAGGGGGGACCCCCATCCCCTGCCCAGCACCCTGGGGGGCTCAGGCCACCCCTGGGGACAGACACCCTCTGGTTAGGGGTGGTCCTGATGGATCAGCTGAGATGGATCACAGAACCATGGGATCAGCGCAGTGGGATGGATGGAGCTGGGTGTTTCCAGGGTTGATGATGGGATCAGTGCAGTGGGATGGACGGATCCAGGTGTCTCCAGTGTTGATGATGGGATCAATGCAGTGGGATGGATGGATCCAGGTGTCTCCAGTGTTGATGGGATCAGTGCAGTGGGATGGATGGAGCTGGGTGTCTGCAGTGTTGATGGTGGGATCAGTGCAGTGGGATGGATGGATCTGAGTGTTTCCAGGGTTGATGATGGGATCAGTGCAGTGGCATGGATGGAGCTGGGTGTCTCCAGTGTTGATGGTGGGATCAGGGCAGTGGGATGGATGGATCCAGGTGTTTCCAGTGTTGATGATGGGATCAATGTGATGGGATGGATGGAGCTGGGTGTTTCCAGGGTTGATGGTGGGATCAGTGCAGTGGGATGGATGGAGCTGGGTGTTTCCAGGGTTGATGATGGGATCAATGCAGTGGGATGGATGGAGCTGGGTGTCTCCAGTGTTGATGATGGGATCAGTGTGATGGGATGGATGGATCCAGATGTTTCCAGTGTTGATGATGGGATCAATGCAGTAGGATGGATGGATCCGGGTGTTTCCAGGGTTGATGATGGGATCAGTGCAGTGGGATGGATGGAGCTGGGTGTCTCCAGTGTTGATGATGGGATCAGTGCAGTGGGATGGATGGAGCTGGGTGTTTCCAGTGTTGATGATGGGATCAATGCAGTGGGATGGATGGATCCAGGTGTCTCCAGTGTTGATGATGGGATCAGTGCAGTGGGATGGATGGATCCAAGTGTTTCCAAGGTTGATGATGGGATCAGTGCAGTGGGATGGATGGAGCTGGGTGTTTCCAGGGTTGATGATGGGATCAATGCAGTGGTTTGGACGGATCCGGGTGTTTCCCAGAGCTGGGAGGGTAGATGGGTTTCAGGTGTGCTCCATCAGGCAGCAGTGGGATCATCTCAGGATACAAGTGGAGCACTGGCACCAGGAGGGAACATTCTGGGCCCATTCTCTTGAAATGTCCATTTTTGGGGTAGCCAAGATGCTGAAATGGCTTTTTTGGGAAGTAGCAAGAAGCTGCAACGGGAATTCGGGTTGAATCCTGCTTCTCCTCCCTGAGCATCCCTGGATCACCCCGTCCCCTTGCCACAAGATGTCCCCAAGCAGGGACCAGCCCCAGTGTGTCTCCTCTTCCCCCAGGTTCCCTTCCCAAGTGGGTGGTGAACAAATCCTCACAGTTCCTGGCTCCCAAGGTGAGTGTGGGAAGCCTTTGGGATGGGGATTGGGATAGGATGGGATAGGATGGGATGGAGATGGGGATAGGATGGGGATGGGGATTGGGATAGGATGGGATGGAGATGGGGATAGGATGGGGATGGGGATTGGGGTGGAGATGGGATGGGATAGCAATGGGGGTGGGATGGGGATGGATTGGGATGGAGATGGGGATGGGATGGGGTTGCGGTGGGGAGCAGATAGGGATGGGGATGGGATTGGGATGGGGATGGGTTTGGGATGGGGATAGGATGATGGGAATGGGGATGGGGATGGAAATGGGAATGGGGATAGGAATGGGGATGGGGATGGGATGGGATGGGTTGGGGGTGGGGATGGGATAGGGACGGAATGGGGATGGGGATGGAATGGGGACGGGGATAGGGATGGGATGGGGATGGGGATAGGAATGGGGATGGGATGGTATGGTGGGGGTGGGGATGGGATGGGGATGGGGTGGGGTGGGAATGGGGATGGGGTGGGATGGGATGGGGATGGAGTGGATGGGGATGGGATGGGATGGGGATGGGGTGAATGGGGATGGGATGGGGTGGGATGGAGATGGGGTGGGGTGGGAATGGGGATGGGATGGGGATGGGGTGGGAATGGGGATGGGATGGGGATGGGATGGGGATGGGGATGGATGGGATGGGATGGAATGGGATGGGGATGGGTGGGATGGGGATGGGATGGGGATGGGGATGGGATGGGGATGGGATGGGGATGGGATGGGGATGGGGAGGGGGATGGATGGGATGGGATGGAATGGGATGGGGAGGGGGATGGATGGAATGGGATGGGGATGGGATGGGGATGGGATGGGGATGGGATGGGGATGGGGATGGGATGGGGATGGGATGGGGATGGGGAGGGGGATGGATGGGATGGGATGGAATGGGATGGGGAGGGGGATGGATGGAATGGGATGGGGATGGGGTGGGATGGGGATGGGATGGGGATGGGATGGGGATGGATGGGGATGGGATGGGGATGGATGGGCTGGGGATGCAGTCCCTCCCACTCCCGCAGGCCATGCGGAAGATGTACAAGGCGTGCCTGAAGTACCCCGAGTGGAAGCAGCGGCACGAGCCGCACTTCAAGCCCTGGCTCTTCCCGGAGCAGAGCCGGCTCCCGGCGCTGGCGCTCTCCGAGCTCTCCCTCCAGCACGCCGATTCCCTGGAGAACATCGACGAGAGCTCCCTCCCGGAGGGCAGGGAGGAGCGCGGCGACGCCAGCGACGAGGACAGCCTCAACTGAGCCCCGGCACCCCTATGGGTCCCCCTGTCCCCATGGGGCTCTATGGTCCATGTGTCCCCATCACCTTATGGGGCTCTACGGTCCATGTGTCCCCATGACCTTATGGGGCTCTGTGGTCTGTGTGTCCCCCCAATCCCTATGGGGCTCTATGGTCCATGTGTCCCTCACCATAGGGGATCTATGGTCCGTGTGACCCCCACCATGGGGCTCTATGGTCCATGTGTCCCCATCATCTTATGGGGGTCTATGGTCCATGTGTCCCCATGACCTTATGGGGCTCTGTGGTCTGTGTGTCCCCCCAATCCCTATGGGGCTCTACGGTCCATGTGTCCCCCACCATAGGGGATCTATGGTCCATGTGTCCCCCACCATAGGGGATCTATGGTCCATGTGTCCCCCACCACAGGGGATCTATGGTCCGTGTGACCCCCACCATGGGGCTCTATGGTCCATGTGTCCCCATCATCTTATGGGGGTCTATGGTCCATGTGTCCCCCCAGTCCCTATGGGGCTCTATGGTCCATGTGTCCCCATCACCTTATGGGGCTCTATGGTCCATGTGTCCCCATCACCTTATGGGGCTCTATGGTCCATGTGTCCCCATCACCTTATGGGGCTCTATGGTCCATGTGTCCCCACCACCTTATGGGGCTCTATGGTCCATGTGTCCCCATCACCTTATGGGGCTCTATGGTCCGTGTGTCCCCCCAATCCCTATGGGGATCTATGGTCCATGTGTCCCCATCACCTTATGGGGGTCTATGGCCTGTGTGTCCCCCCTGCCATGGGGGTCTATGGTCCATGTACCCCCCTATCCCATGGGGGCTCTATGGTCTATGTGTCCCCCACCATGGGGGCTCTATGGTCCATGTGCTCCCCATCCATCACAGCTCATGTCCCTCGTGCACATCATGAACATGACCCAATGCTTTGGGGGGACCCCCAAGTGCCACCCCACTGCTTGGGGACCATAGGGCCATGCTGGGTACCCCCACATTGGGTGTGGGAGTTGGGGGGTATCCGGTCCATTCACAGCCATCATCCTCATCCTCATCCCCATCATTGCCCAACCCAAAGTGCTCTTCAGCTCGTGCCCTTGGGGGGGGTGGGAAGAGGTAGAGGGGGGTCCTGCCATTGCTCCCCAGCCTTTGGGGCACCCCAGCCCCTTTCCCTCTGCTCCCCTGTCCCTTCTCCCCATGGGACCCCCCAAGTGGACCCCCAGGGTTTGGGGGGGGTTGGAGGGAGGGAACATGGGGGGCTAAGGGGGGCTCCCGGCTTGTCCAGGAATGTAGGAGGGGGGCTTGGGGGGGTTACAGCTCATCCATGCAGGTAGAGGGGGAGCTTGGGGGGCTCCTGGTACCCCCAGATGTGCTGGGGAGTTCTTGGGGCACCTCCATGCCTGGTGCCAGGACCTGGGGGGCTCTCAGCACCTCCCTGATGGGGGGCCTGGGGGGTCCCAGTATCTTCAGGTGTGTTGGGGGGGGGAGCTTTGGGGGTCTGGGGGCACCTCCAGGCATTCTGGGGGGATCCCCGGTGTCTTCAGGTATGGGGGGGGGGGGGGCTCTTGGCACCCCAGATGTGCTGGGGGGCTCCAGCATCTCCAGATGTTCTAGGGGGGCTCCTGGTACCTCTAAGCCTATTGGGGGGGACTTGGGCACCTCCAGATGTTCTGGGGGGGGGACTTGGGGCACCTCCATTCATGTTGTCAGGACTTGGGGGCCTCTTAGCACCTCCCTGTTGGGGGTCCCAGCATCTTCAGGTGTGTTTGGGGGGGCTCCTGGCACCCCAGATGTGCTGGGGGGCTCCAGCCTCTCAGGCTCCAGATGTGCTGAGGAGGTCCTAAGCCTATTGGAGGGACTTGAGGGGGCTCTGCTGCCATCCCCAGATGTTGGGGGGGTCCCTGGGGCCCCCACCCCCGGTGTGTGAGCACTGGGGGCCTCGGCTCGGGAATTCGGGATGGCGGCGGTTTTGTACCTTGATCCGGAGCTGATTGTTTAGGAATAAACCAAATGAATCTGGGACAAGGACATGGGGGGGGGGGGGTGTCTGTATCCTGCGCCTGGGACATGGCCCCATGGGGATCCAGTGGGGGGGGGTGTCTGTATCCTGCGCCTGGGACATGGCCCCATGGGGATCCAGTGTGTGGGGGGTGTCTGTATCCTGCGCCTGGGACATGGCCCCATGGGGATCCAGTAGGGGGGGTGTCCCTGGGTTGATACCCCCCAGAGCCACCATTGGACCCATGGCAGTGGTGATGCCACCGTTGGGAGCCCAGCACTAACTGGGGCCACGCCAGTAACACCAGTAGGGCCCATGGAACAGCCCAACTGGGGTACAGCCCCCCCCAAGATGGGATGCTGAGATGGGGCTGTCAATGGTTCCGTGTTCTCCAGTGTCCAATGGGAAGATGGGATGAATCCAAAGCCTTCGTCCTCCTCCCCAGGATCTTCATCATCATCAACCTCTATATGGGCAATAGATGCCAGTAGCCCCCCAAAGCCAGTGTTCCCCCAAGCAGGGGCCCCCAGATCCCAACTGTGGGATGCCCCCATTGTAGGCAGCTCAGCAGAGACCAGGGGTGGACCTGTCACACTGGAGTGATGGGGTTGGGGTGCAAAGGGGGGGTTTGGGGTCTGCGAGGTTTTGGGGTACCCAGAGCCCTTGAGGTTGGGGTGTGCGAGCCTGGACATTGAGCTGGTCTCCGCCACTGCTGAGGCTGAGCTTGGGGTGCTGCAATGGGGTGCCCATGGTGTCCGTGCCCCCCTGTTCTGCTCTGCTCGCTGCAGGGACCATGGTCCAGCTGGATCCATCCCCTGCTCCCTGGTGTCCCTGCGGCGGGGCGGGATGCGGGGGGCTTCACCCCCAAACCACCCCCCTGCGTTATCCCAAATGCAAGGAGCAGGGAATGGGGGAGGGAACCCCCTGAGGCTGCCAACAATGGGGTTTTTGTGTGGAGTCCCGCGGGAATTCCCCCGCTCCCGTTGCCAGGAGCGGGACCAGGCCCCATGGAAGCGGCTTGGAGCGGGGGCTCCGCTGGGACTGGGGGGCAATGGCGGCGCTGGGGGTGCAGATACACCCCGGAGGGTGCTCTGGCCCCTCTTCATATGGTGTGATCCAGCCCAGTGCTGCCCAGCTCAACACCAGGATGTCCCAGCTCAACACCAGTATGTCCCAGCTCAACACCGGTATGTCCCAGCTCAACACCAGTATGTCCCAGCTCAACACCAGTATGCCCCAGCTTCCCCCAGCAAACTCCAGTTCACCCCAACCACATCCCAGCTCCCCCAGTATAACCCAGCTCAATTCCAGTATAGCCCAGTTCAACCCCATCTCTCCTCCAGCTGACCCCAGCACGTCCCATCTCAATCAGCACTCCCCACCTCATTCCCAGTATATCCCGGTTCACTCCCAGCACTTTCCAGATCATTCCCAGTACACCCAAGCTCATTCCCAGTACACCCAAGCTCATTCCCAGTACACCCCTGCTCCTCTCAGCACTCCCCATCTCATTCCCAGCACTTTCCACCTCACTCCCAGCACTTCCCAGCTCATTCCCAGTACACCCCTGCTCCCCTCAGGATTCCCAATCTCATCCAGCACACTCCACCTCACTCCCAGCACTTTCCAGCTCATTCCCAGTACACCCAAACTCATTCCCAGTACACCCCTGCTCCCCTCAGGATTCCCAATCTCATCCAGCACACTCCACCTCACTCCCAGCACTTTCCAGTTCATTCCCAGTACACCCAAGCTCATTCCCAGTACACCCAAGCTCATTCCCAGTACACCCAAGCTCATTCCCAGTGCACCCAAACTCATTCCCAGTACACCCAAGCTCATTCCCAGTACACCCCTGCTCCCCTCAGCACTCCCCACCTCACTCCCAGCACTTTCCAGCTCATTCCCAGTACACCCAAGCTCATTCCCAGTACACCCCTGCTCCCCTCAGCACTCCCCACCTCACTCCCAGCACTCCCCACCTCACTCCCAGCACTTCCCAGCTCATTCCCAGTACACCCCTGCTCCCCTCAGGATTCCCAATCTCATCCAGCACACTCCACCTCACTCCCAGCACTTTCCAGCTCATTCCCAGTACACCCAAGCTCATTCCCAGTACACCCCTGCTCCCCTCAGCGCTCCCCACCTCACTCCCAGCCCTTCCCAGCTCACTCCCAGCTCCCCCATGCCCGTCCCCATCCCGTATCCCTGCGCTCACCGGGGCTCCATCACCCGGGGGTGGGAGGGGGGGGTTGTTGAGGGCCAACCCCGGGGATCCGGTGCCGGGATAAATCCCGGGGGAGCAGCGCCCGGAGGCCCTGGCACGGGGTTTGTTTTCCATTGGGAAACCCGGCTCCGGGCACGGGCAGAGAGCGCCGGGATCCCTGCCAGCGGCGCCCAACGCACCCAGCGGCACCCGACGGCACCCAGCGGCATCCAATAGCACCCAATAGCACCCAGCGCCTTCCTCCTCCTCCTCCTCCTCCTCCTCCCGGCCCCTGTGCCGCGGCCTCAGGAATTCCTCCGGCGTCACGGCTGCAGCGGGACAGCGGCCGCTTTGTCCTCCGGGAATGCCGAGGTTGGCTCCGTGTCGCTGCCGCCGCGTCCCGGGGCCATGGGAGGGGGGGTCCCATCGCTTGGGGGGGGGCTGCAGTGGATGCAATGTGAGCAGAGGCGCTCACCCAGGATGGGCGCTGCGGGGTGGGGGGGGCCGTGATCCCATCGGGATACCCCGGGACGCCGGCGCCGGGCTCCAGCTCCTGCGGGAGCTGCCGGTTGTTTTCCATGCCTGGCAGCGGCTCCATCAGCGCTGGGATATTCAGAATCCCATTGGATTTCTGCACCGCTCCGTGCCCCACATCCCACGTCCGTCCCCCCCCCCCCAGCAGGTCCATCCAGCCCTCGGGAATGTTGCTCCGTCACCGCGCAGCAGGGGCTTTGGGTGCTGACGGGGTGGTTTGGAGCACCCAATGGGGGGCCGGGGTGGCACCGGACACCCGGAACCTGCTGCTGATGG